AAGATGTATCTACTTTCATGCGCGTGATTTCAACACTTTGTACGCGCTTATTTCCGTATTTGTGAATAATACGACATCGATCGATACGGTCAACACATTTCACCGTCAGAGAGTAAGTGCTAAACTCGAATGCCCAGTGGTTTTATTACAAATTGCTTGGCTACATCACAGTAGGTCATACAGGTCAAAGGTTTCCCAACAATCGACGTTGATTGGAGAAATACTCACCCAAAACTAGCACACACCTACTTTAAACAGAGCTGTAGGGCTGCTTAACACACGTTGCTTTAATTACCGTTCATAATTTATAAACACGAGTTGCTGCTATGTGCGTAAGAACGTGCTGGCGTAGTATTTCGTGTTTATATACCCCTTGAGGTAGTGATTGAAAAATTTAGCATATCCGGATGAGTCGGAAGAAGCGCAACAATGTATCTGTCCTTACGTAACGGCTTCAAAAAATTTCACTGTGTTTTAACAACGTCAAACAAAAGACACCGACGTTGATTTGATCAGCAAGACTTTATGTCTCGCGCAAATGCTTAAAGATAAGATTTTCGTAATGGAAGAATTTGTTGCGCAAATAAAAATGTTGGCAGTTATGATGAGAAGAAAATGCTTTAGGGGGACAGAGTTCGACGATGTTTGAAGCATAGCAGTAACAGTGCGTCCCATTTTGCGACAATGCCAAAGTCTTTCTAAAGATACAAATCTAAAAAACAATAGAAAACCGCCATTGTTTTGTCTTTGGCGATTTCCATGATATAGTTTTGGCATAAAAAAAGTCTGTATTGTCTAAACGCATTACAATGGTATTTGCTGACGTAAGTTTTTGTATAGAGTTACCTGGAAAGAATTTCCATACAGCGGGATGTCACGCAGATTAGAAAACAATACGTCTTTGGTAAATGGTCCGCTTCGCAATAGTAGACACTACAATAGGATAATATAAAATGGAATGCGTTGGCTTTGCGATTATCGATTATAATGAAAGTCATAAAGTCATTGGTTGATGCAAATTTTATCAAAAATGGTGGAAAATTTTTTTGAGGGTTTAATTGATCAACTACATTTTCCAATAACTATTTTTTTTCGGAAAGCAACGATTATGAGAACAGCTAAACAGCAGAGTATGCTGACATGTAAATTTACAAAAAGAAGCTTTGTAAATATATATTGATGTTTTGGTTTTGTAGGTGGTCTCTTTAGACTCCATAAATATCTATTAAAAATAGTTCACGTTGTTTACATAATTATTCAAGTATTTCTAATCACAGTTTTGCAGTTGGAAATCTATTTTTGCCATTCGGGTGAATTTATCAGATCAAGCTGTTTCCCGTCTATTTTTGAAAGGAAATATATCGAATTCCTTGAGACGATGTTACTATAAATTTTCTTTGAAAGCTTTTTATATCTTCATTGGTCAGGAAATAAAGAATACATTTTATGTAAGTACCTCTCAAGAAAAGTTAAAAATAGTTTTTTATTGAAATAATAAAATCTTCTGTCAAGTATAATAGCAACATTTTATTTGTCAATAAATATCACACAATTCGCTGAATGGACTCCGTATGAACTATATGATGTCAGCAAAAGTAAAGCACTTTGATAAAATATGAAAATACGACTCTTTCTTAAGTCATGTAAAAGCTGGCTGATTTTCGACTATCAATTTTTTGAAGCATTGAAGTAGCAAAGATAGATTCTCATGCAAGACATCTCGTTACGATAAAAACAACTGTTTTCAGTTAAACGGTTGAAGTAAAGTCTTTCTTCAGAGGATTGAATCCAAGATTATTGAATTTTTCAATTAGCTAATGAGGGATTCAAAACGCTGAATTGAAACTTCTATTTGAGTTGTTGAAAATCACTTCTTGTTGCATAAAATTAACTTTACTTGCAAAAAGGTTATTCGTATCGAGCACATAGAAGCTTTTTAAAAAAGGCGATTTGAATTTGCTTGAAACTTAATACTTCTAGTGCAGATCAACGTCCCAATAACATACAGTCAGTAGCTACAGAGGGTCCGAAGGGAGTTAAATCGACTTAAAAGTAGTTTGCTGTGTTTAATGTTTACAAAGTTTCAAAGAGACTTGTTATCAGGATTTGAAGGTCATATCGAGTTCAACTACTACCAGACTTTTTATTCAACGAGAACCATATCTGTCGAGCTTGAATTGTTTATGAATTGAAATTTTCGTACTTTTTTCTATTCGCTTAAACATGTATTTAAATTTTGGTAAGCAGTTTGATGTATTTATGACCATTTTACGTTGAGTGGAAGTTGACAAATTATAACTCCAAAAGTCGTCCTCGAGAGCAAACCTTTTTTGGCCACTATGTTGGCTCATTTGACGTCATAAGCAATACGGAAGTCGACAGTGAAATAGTAGGAAGCTTTAGCAAAGACTACAAGTACGACTACGAGTATGATTTACGTCATTTTGGCGCAAAAACATTGTTGCGACAACAAAAACACGTAGCCGTCATCAATCTGAGTACGATGTTTAGTAAAAAATTCGTAGTCGCGACTACGATTCTTTTTAAGCAAAGAAAGTAGATATATTTCTTCATTCTGTAAGAAATTGCTGACAGTACTATTTTCGAGCATCCAGGCTTTAATTTAGAACCTTTTTTGAGCGCAGATGTACATTAAAAAGAAAAATATGACCAGCAAAACTTTCATGTATTTCGTACGCAAAGTGAAAGGCAAACAAACAATAAAATAGTACAAATATATCGCACATAAAACTTAAAATAGTGAAGATTTTTCACTCTAAAGAGTCCTATATTCTCGCAAAATCAGTATTACCGATTTGTTGATATCATTATTGACAAATAGAGCCGTAGCTGCTTCGCAAACGTCGGTATTTTTCACAATAAAAAGGTTCGTTCTGTTGTTTATAGCTGAAACAAAATTTTGATGACGCGACAACGACAACAAACTTCCTAGTGCCATTCCCTTACACGGTCAAACTTCGTACTCGTTGTCGTAGTCGTACTCTTGCTAAAGCTCCCTAATATCTATTGTCCTGTCGAGAATGTGTACTCGCAATGACGTCAATGCAGCAAACATGGCTGCCAAAAAAATTACACAGGAATTGTTTAAAATGGTCAAAAATCGCCACTTTTGACGGCTATAAAATCAGTTTGAAAATACCAACTTCAAATCAGTTTGCGTAAAAATGATTTTGTGTGTGTACTCGCTTTTAAATTAGCCAATAAAACAAAGTACAAATACTTCACTGCACTTTAAGGCCACAAATTATGTTTATGTTTTATATTCAAGCTTATATTTACTTTTTGGTATTCACAATCCGTCAATATTTGCCTAAACATACATTTTGCTTTCAAAAAGGTTTTTGTTGCTTATTTCCGCATTTCAGGAAAGCAAAAGTCAAAAAATAAAAAGGCATTTTTGCGAATCGCAATGCACACAATAATCACAACTTAACTCGTTGATACTTTACTGAAGTAATTAAAGGTTTACCTGAAGAGAGAGACCATCATATGATGATTAATTGATCATTGATGACACGCGTTCTCACGATAAAATAAAATTTCTCTCAATAACACTTGATAAAGACACAGTATAGTGTACGTGATTCGGATGTATGTTTAACTTTGCGATGTATTATTTCACATTGAATAAACTTGAAATTTGTCGGTTGCTGTAAATTCAGTGTAACAGCTCTTGAATTGAGTTGTGTTTTCTGTAGCAAACATTGCTTTGAAGACTGTCGAGCAATTGATTTTCGAAACTGGAAAGAATTCCAAATACGTCTGTAGCTCTGAATTTAGTGTCAGTGAACTGTTTTCAGTTCACAAATACAGTCCTGTTATGTAAATGAAAAGTATTATTATTCACTTCTAAAACCTTTTTTGTTTTTGAAGGGAGGAAATACAGAAAAATTTGCATAAAAGGATTAAATTAACAGGCTGGTAATTCTCAATTGTAAATCTTTTTTGTACAAAACGGGGCTTAAACATTTGTCATTTAAAACAGCTCGCTACCCTCCATCTACCTTTTGTCATTAATATTTTTCTTTTTCAGAATATAAAGCATTATATATTTTTTGTTCGATCCTTTAGCTATGTTCGATTACAAAAATATTTCTTTTGAAGTTGGATGTAATACATTTTCATTCCATACAAACCTTATCATCTTATAAACAGCTAATCTGACTGACGGTTGATCACAGTATAGAAATAAACAGTAGTCTCACTCCATTGTGCAACTTGGTGCAGTATATTTAATTAGATTACTGACTGCGGGTAGCCATCAGTGAGGGTAGCCATCAATGAGGGCTCCTATTGGTCAAAAAAAGCAATTGACTGGCTGCCACTATGCCAATCACATGCGTAATAAGATATGCGCTTCACAAAAAATTCAATTGAGTGGCCCTACTGTATGTTTCTATACTGTGGTTTGACATTGGCAAATATTGTAATATAGGTGGTGTGAAACTACTCTCTTGACAGTGAAAACCCGCTCGAATTTTCACCGTGTTTGATGACATTTGTATTATGAACTAAAATATTGACTAAGATCCTTCACCAAAATCATCCAACGTGGCGGCCATAACGTAACTAGCAGACAAGAGGAATAGGAAATTCAAAAAAAAGACAACGACAAATATAAACGAGGTGTGTGTAAGAATTTGCCACACTAATTGTGAACACTAAAATTAAGCAAATCTTGCTTTATGGACGGTGAAAGGTTTTCACTGGTCAAAACAGTGTTAATCAAGCGTTTTTTTGGACGGCTCTGTCTCAGTTTACCGCTTAGATTGCGGTTGGAGTTAGGGTTTCCAGTTTACATGCATTAAAGAAAACCGACTCATCATGCTCATTTGCTATAGTTCTCCTGTAAATTTAGGTTACCCGCTTTTCTAATCAATCATTTTAAACATAAAAATTGTCCATTGCATGTTTATTAACATAGAAACAAAATTATAGTAATAGTTTCTATAGAACAGGACATGAAGACAAGAGGAGAAAAGTGCATCATGTCTAATGGAGCACTGTAGTCAGGGGCAGATTGAAATGAATTGACCGTCATTAATCAACTACAGTTATCCGTACACTAATGGCTGTAATTTCATTTAAAAATTTCCATGTAACCTCTCTTAAACCAATCGAGAAATAGAAAATGTACACAGAATATGGCGCATTATCTACGAGACTGCATATTAAGTCTTCAGCTTTTATTTTATCATTTTATTTCAATTATTTAAAGATAATACCACTATATATACAATAACTAAATACGAGGTTCTTAAAATGCTATGAACTGTGCGCGTTATCAGTGTGAATGTGCAATATTTACTGTTAATTATAATAGATTTACTGCTGTTTTGGTGAAAGTTGTTAACTAAGCTCAGTAAAATTGGCTATATAAATTTACGTAACTTAGTCAAAAAGCTATACCTCGTGCCTTCATTGCTGTCAGGATCATCCTATCTTGTCTGCAAGTAACATTAAAACGTGATTAATGATAAGGAAAAGAAGGAATGACTCTGTTTGCAAGTCAAGACAAATTCAACACTGTTATCGAAGAACATTTAAAACCGTCTATATAAATGATGGCGGCTGTTTAATACGCAAGAGTTCGGTAGAAAAAAAGGACGTTTTTAAAATTTCTTTTCCGAAGCTTTACGAGCAGCAATTAATTGACCGCTACCTGAGACAACTAACAAGCAAAAAAACCTTTGTCCATAGTATGATTGTACAAAAACAATTAGAATAGTCGTTCTCGTTTTCCATAAAGCAATAGTTAATTCAAGCTTAGCTCTCATCAACCGTCATCTCATAGAAATCTGAAGCTCGTAATCAAATTGTAAATAGAGAAATTGCGTTGAAATTGTCAATAGAGAATTATTGGTTTTTAGGTACAGTTATCGTTGATGACGCTAAATTTATTTTTAACAAAGATATTTTCTCATTAAATAATACATAGTTGGACGAGACTTTAAATATATAGCAAACTATAATGATCTATTTTTAAGGTGTATAAAGCTCTCATTTTTTTTTCTCACTCATGAAATTGTACGCTCATTTGGTGAACAGCATGTTCCGCATCGTATGTGGGTGAAACCACGTGTTATGTCGACACCGGCGAGTTTCAGAATACTTGGAAATTTCTCTCTAAAACGGAAAACTGTCTTCGGCACAATAATTGGAGGCGGCAGCGACAAATATTCATGTATGCATCTTCTACCTCAGTAGCTTCTATTGAAATCAATTGTGGTTATGGATTACCAAAGATTAAAACATACGAATATATATATTTATTATTTAATATATGAAGATGTGTTAATCTAAAATAAAACGGCGTTAAATAAACCTTTATCGTTCTTGCTGCTTCAAAAATTTTATTTCCGGCTGTCATATGATTAATTTTGTACTTTTATTTATTTTGGTATTATAGACTTGTCGACCACCATAATGTTTTTACTATGGACGCAACATATGTATAAATGGTCACTTACAATGCAAGCCTCGACGAACAAAATCAAAGCAGAAAGGAAGAAAAGGACCTAGAAAGAATGAAGAGAAAACGAGTGAATAAATAAGAGAACTTCAGACGAACTTCTGAAGAAAACTAAGTGTCTTGTCGTTTTGAATAATTAACGAACAATTTTTAGTAATGAAGACATATGTAGCTGAAACTTACCGCAGCGGTAACAAGACTATCACAGTCGACTGAATTATGCGATTCTTTAAGCCAACGGCAAAGAGACATGTGTCCTTTTAAAGTTTCCCTCTCTTCATTTCTATAGTAATGAACCGTTATAACCCAGGCAATGCAAGGTACGAGATACAAGAGGGCGACAAAACTTTTGAGCCAGAAAATCTTAAAGTCACAAAAAGAAGTTGAACGATTTTACATATCTGTCGTAGAATTTCATTACATATATAGCAGGCTTTGTTAGTGCACATGATGAAATGGGGATGAAATAGTAAAGTTTCGTGTTTTGTTTCTCTATCGAAAATAATAAACAATTTTAAGATTACTTACCATTGTACGTGTATTGTTACGGGCATTTTCTATAATCTTGACAATAAGAGCAAACAGAAATGGAAAAATGACGCTCATTCCGTATTCCAAGTTTTTGTCTTCTTAAGCCATTACTATATACAATGTTACTGTTCAATAAAGTAGAAAGTTGAAATTCTTTACACAGAAGAACGAGAGTGAGACCTTGCTTTAAATTTTCTGCTCTCCATGTATACAATAAGCGCATTCAAATGTTGATGAGTTCTCAAACCATAACCTTAAACAGGTAGGAGTATATTTTCAATGCTCGCCTTCTTATCGACTACAGTACTTTGCTAGCCGCACTCTTTGGTTGCTATAGGGACGACGATGTTTCATTTTCACAGGATAAATTACCATTGACATCGATTTCATTGGTTTTTTCAACCATTGACATGTTTAAGTTTGTCTTGAGCAATTCTTTACATGAAGTTCTCACATTCACGGTCGCGTTAACGGTAATTTTCTGATTGATTGACTCCGAGTACAGACTGTCATTTGTGCTTGAATTCGTGCTCAGAGTTGACGAAAGTTGTTTTTTCCTCAACTGAGCGCCGGCCACGTCATTTGTATTGACCTTTGACGTCAGTTTCTCGCTATCCCTTTTCCCGCCTTCTTTTAACAATTTAAATCCCTTGGTGTACCTTACATTACTTATCTTACTCCTTGAAGTTCTTGTACTTCTTCTTATTTTCTTCTCTTGGTGCTTTTTGTTCGATCCCTTTCTCGACACGTGACTTCTAACTCTGCTTTTACGATCTTTGGTGTGTCCTTCTGGACTTCTTGCCCAGCTTATCGAGTCCAAAGGCTTTCTGTGCAATCTTGCTGTGTTTGTGCTTGACCTATGGCTTGTTCTGGGCTTCGACTTTTGTAAGATTTCCCGAGCTTGGCATTTTAAGCCCTTTTCATTTTGTAGCGAAGTTCTAGAGTCGTTCCAATTGGAGCTGATAGATTTCTGTAGGTTCTGTTTATTGTGAGTCTTCCGTCTTATCCAGCGATGCTTGAGAGCTTGAGCAGCGGTCAAACGCTTCGCGGGCTCAACAACAAGCAACGATCTTATGAAGGTCTTTGCCTCGTCGGAAACCGCATTCCACGGCTGAAAAGGAAAAGAAGTAGTTGACGTCAGATGTTTACAAATTCATTCATATGAATCGTGAGCCATGTGTAGAAAATCTAATCTTCTTAACTACAGCTATAAAGTCAACATACATTTGTCGTAAACAAAGTTGTTTACAAAGCGATAGGTTTGAACTAGTAGCAAGCATGCACATGACCGTTGCATAACCAAAAAAATGGAAGTTCCATCAATGTTTAGAGAATAAATATATTAAATAAAACAAATAATCATATAAGTGTTGAAATATAAGCACAGAAAGCACGATTTATAACAGTGGAAAGAATTGCAAATGAAAAATAAATGCTTCCAATGGTGTTGGGCCCTCGTACAGAAATGACAATTTTTCATCATTGTGTTCCGTAAGGTTAATCTCCATTATGATCGTATTCAATAAAGGATTACAAAACCCACCCAACAAGAGATAAAATTTTAGCATTTTACAATTTATGAAAATCGTTACGACAGAAGAATTGGGGGGTAGTAAAACCCTAAAATCTTCAATGCAAGCCTATTAGCAATAATACGGAGTGGATAGTTCATTAAAGATCCTTTCATTTCACAAAACAGCTTGCTTAAGCCTCACGTATCGCTCAAAGTCTAACATGAAACAAAAGATAAGCTCCTATGAATGAAGTATAACAACAAACTTGAGCGAAAATCCAATTTAATTGCAGTAAGTATCGCACTCAACACTCATTGGTTATCACTTCTGTCCAGAACTCGTGCATGCGCAAACAAATGCAATCATTGATTGCGCAATTGCGAAGAGAAACTTTGTACTTTGATTATGGGGGCATTGTTTCAATTCACTCAAAAATAGTTTGCATATGGAAAGCTCATGGTTGATCACGAAACGTTTTGCGGTCTTGTTGAAACTATTTGCTTATGACGTGCTACAGAAATTAAATCGCACGCACTCACTCATTTTAATGACACCACATTCCACGTTTCCTATTGTTTTAAATCTGTTTTCAAAACACGCTTTTAAATTTGATCTGCTCGCCAATGTGCTGTAATGACCGGTTACACTGAGTGTCAAGTTCAAAAATTCAAAGTATTTTAATATTTGGTAATTGTGACATAATGTTCTAGAACCAACCTTAAACATGGTTGCGAGGGAAAGAAAATAATTTGTAGCTAATATGAGCATTCATTAATTAATTAAAGGCCAAAAAGGTTAGTTAATCTCATGGGAAAATAAGTTTGTCGTATATGATGGAGATACTTTTACTCAATTATAAAAGCATTTCAAAGCTGTTGAAAGCAAAAAGAACGCCTTATCTATACGCGATGCCGTATGAATGTTTTATGCAGTGCGGTGTTTGAAATTAAATGAAGATATGATCTTCGCACTTTGTTGGACAGTTTAAGCAATCGTCTCAGGACCTGAAAAAATCAGGTTGGACAATTTAAGCAATCCCGTTGAGTCCCTTGATTTTTTCAGGTCCTGAGACGATTGCTTAAATTGTCCAACAAAGTGCGAAGATCATATCTTCATTTAATATACGCGATGCGTTGCCCACATGATCATGCCGAAACTTCTCAAAGACCATTTTGTTGTCAAATTTCACCTTATTGAACGAAGAATTTTATTTCAACATCCGGGAAAATCGATGATTTGTAAAGAATTTGATATATACCCCACTTTTAGCCAAAACACACAAGAAAACAAGAAAAACACTATTTATTTTAAACCGGAATCGGTCTGCAGACGTGAAAAGATAGCCTGAAACTGTATAAAATGATTTCGTTTCGGATAAGTTGTCATCCTGATAAGCCAGCCATCTCAGTAACGGAAATTGGGAAAGTCAAAATATAATCTTCCTGTGGTGATAGTTCATAGTTTGATACACCGACAGCACGAAAAGCAGCAAAAACAAACCGAAAAATTACGAGAAACGCGAGAAGGGCAATTATT